TGCTGTAGGGTTTGCTCGGACTTCTCTGAGAGTGCAATAATAATAGTGCAATTTTGCAATAATTTCATAACCATTAGAAAAAGAATCAAATGATGCATAGGAATCTTTGTTCCAACAAATGTGGCGCCCGTTTGAAAAAAGCGAAATTACTTTTCAAACGACCTAATATTAAAATTCGGTCAAGGGGTAGCCAAATTTTCGGTATGCGAACACACATGCCTCGGATTGAAAATTCAGTAATTTTATTCCTAAGCAATGTAAAAATTTCTTTTGCAAGTATGTTATAGACAAAAGCTTCCTCTACGCTGCACATTTGACAAGGTAAAAGAAGCAGCTATCGTGAAGGTGTGGGGCGAATTTCATTGCGACTGCCTGCGTGCCATGACAGGTGGACTTACCAAAATTTTGTAGGGTCGCGTGAATGCCAAAAGAGGAAATTATGAAATTCAGAAACTGTGGTGTAACTGTAATGGTTTGATTTATGGTGCGAAGAAATTTTTTGTTTCTACATACTTCCCTTCTCATTTTGTATGAAAAAGTACTAGGCTCCCATACTTTTGACGCATCCTGTAGAGTTTGGAACGGCGTAAAACTTTGTCGATCTGAAAGAAGAAGTTTAGAAATGGAGACTACGAAGAGATACGAGGCGAGAGAACTGTGACTATAGAGGGAAGAGAAGAAGAGGATGATGGAGAAGACGAAAATGAAGAAAGTAGCGGGAACGACAGTGCTGAGCCTTTTCTCTTTCTACATTTCTATACATTTTTGTTACACACACAAACACACAAACCACGCACATACACAAATACCTTCATTGCAATATGCAATAAAACGACAACAAGTGAACTTTTTAGAAATTCTATCTTGACTACATGTCAAGTCCGCACATCATCCTTAAATAGAGTAGTAAAAAGTATTGGCGTCGTTTATTTTGCTGTAACATGAAACTCAAAAAATTATTAGAAATTCGCGAATTAGTGACACTTATAGGGCCCAATGAACATAGTTCTAAGTTGTTTCATGCTGTTGATATCCCTACGCGCCACCCTTATTCCAAATTTTTTTAAATCTTCAGCACCCAAGATGGGAAGAATGAATTTGTCGCAAGCAAATTTCGGACTGGCTCAGTCTGCCTAAAAAATTTCTAAACTATAAATTTATCGAGTATACATTGATCTACAAGTTTCACATTTATAACTCACACCGAAACTATCAAATTCATGAAAAAGTCAGCAAAAATATCTCTCTCATTGAGAAACCTATTTAACATTAACTTTGGAGGATTCCAAAGTCCTCATCAAAGTTCCTAACACATTCTTATTTACACCCGTTTATCTCCTCAACATCCTCTTGGCCCTTGCGATTTCTTCAAAAAATTGGAGCTTTTTTTCCAAGTTTCGCAATGTTCGAGGTCTTTCAAAAACTTGGAAAGCTCAGTTTATATTTTGTCATTATTCAAAAATCCAAGCAAAGTGCTAACGCACCTTAGGAAGTTTTTTCATATCCTCTAGAGATTCATCTTCTTTTCTAACCTTTCGAAAACGTTCATCGTAATTCTTCAATAGAATTTTATTAGAGGCTACCCATTTCCATGCTTGCTCCACTATCTTTGTAACATGAAACGATCGGTCGCCTTTTAGTGCAGTTATTTTTCCTCTTTCCAATGGGTGTTTTCTGTTACCGACTCGCGAAATCTTTGGATTGAAACCATTATAACTCTTAATTTCGAACGCGCCACTACTCAAAAATTCGAAATTCATTATTTCGGATCCAAAAACTCGAATTTCTTCCACGAAATCAGTGTTGAATCATAACACTATCTTAATGGTATAAAATTCCGCTTTTCTGGTAATGCGTTTGCATCTGACATGGGTTTGCCAAGAGCCTGTGGTGTGAGTAAGAAAAATTCTAAACAAAAATATGGCAAGCTACGGGAAGGAGACTAAAGTTGTATTGTAACCGAATGCTGATGTCTAGTGGTATATTGAGGTTTTAATCTCCATAACTGGGCACACGAACAGAATGAAAACATGAAATTTTATCCGTATGGCAAAACGAAAACCAACGGCCTCAGGGCCAACAACGAACAAAACAACGAGAAAAAACACGAAATCGGGGGGAAATGTCCCGATTTGACCCTCTAGCAGGCCTTCGCACAGTTATGTCTGGATCATTTCTCGGTGAGTTCTTACGTGGGGAGGTCTGGTTTTCTCCTAACCAGTTTTCGACTTCCACGAGCCTCTTCTTCTCGATGCTTCCCGTTTTCTTCCCCTCTTCTGCCTTCCTCTTTCTCTTCCCTTTTTTGAAGAGAGGCAAACGCCTCCTCTTCCCGCCAGGTCTGATATTGATGATCTCATCTTCCAACACGCCTCCCCTCCGAGGAGCCGTCGATCTCAGCGCGGTGGGAGTTATTCCAATTTTGCGTCTGGTGCTCGCATCCTGATGGCTTCATGTAGGTGTCTGGTATTCGTTATTACGCAGTAAGTGTCGCAAAACTGAAATAAGTTTTCAGGCGGACTTGTATCAATCCATACTCTACCATTTTCAACAGGGTAGACGCAAAAAGGTATAACTGGTCCGGGCTGGCGAATTCTTCCAAGGTGGCGTCGATTATAGTCCACAGTGCCATGACTTTCCGTATGTGTACCTCGCGACATTCTATTCGTGGCCAGACTGATATCAATTTTCCTTCTTCTTCGATTCCTCTAAGATGTTTTTTGCAGGTCAACATGATATCCGTGATTGCTTCTTCTTATTTCCGCGTAACCGTCGGCCACACGATGACCCACGTTTGACAGTGTTTCAGTCCTTGCAAGGCATTCTTGAGTTGGCCTGCATGATCTTTGGTAGTCACTCCTCCTCACCAGCTTAGCCCCCAAGTAACTTAGATCTAGCGTCTGGATATCTCCAGTCGCTTTCAACAGTGCTGTTTGCTGTAGGGTTTGCTCGGACTCCTCTGGAGAGTTGGCATGAAGATTCAGAACGATGGCAAAGCTTCTCGAAAAAGCATGCCTCGCAGAGGTTGACTTTCGGGAGCCCGTTGATTGTGCCGCATTGAAATTGTAAGTAATTGAAAAGAATGAAACGATGCATTGAATAATACAAGATCTCCCAAAAATCCTTGTTCCGCGGACTTTGGCGCCCGTCTAAAAAATGCGAAACTGCTTTCGGGTGGACCTAGGCCCGTAGTAAACCCCCATTCATCTCAGGTGACTTGAGATTAGTCATTCAGAAGAACTCCTTCGGGTGAACCTAATCCGGCCCACCTTCCCGTGCTTGAGAATAGTCAGCTCAACAGTCAGAAGACTGTCTGGTCAAGTGTCACAGTCAGTTCACCAGAATGCCACTTATCCGAAGTCGAATTTTAGGGTGACCCGAGAGAGATAGTGTGCGTAAGAGGAGAATCAGACAAATTTCCCGTAAGTTGCTCGTGAGTACGGGAAAATTACGGGAAAATTCAGTCGACGTACTCTTGCGGTGCAAAACTCCCAAAATTGCACGTTTTGGCGGCCTAGATGGGAGAGGATCGATGAACAGCTGATTGCGGCGAATAAACGAAAGAACAGGATTTCTTGGATTTCTTTTTTTTTTCAGAGCTTGATTACGTTTTTCCTTCAAATACTGCCTGAAACAAGGATTTTCTGGTTTTTTTCAATTTTCTCTATGTTCAAAATCTTCGTTTTTCATGAATTCCTCGTCAAAATGTGGTAATTTGTTTTATCCATCATTTGCTTGGCGATATCTTTGATAGCGGTTGCCATCGATTTTTCTCGATAGCGGCCGCTATCAAAGATTGCCTGCGGTATCGCAAAAGTTTGGCACTGTCCAGCTTTGAACCACGGTCCTGCGCGTTGAAACCTTTTCACTTAGCCGCTCGACCAGCCTGCTCACGGTGTCGAGTTTTTGGAAACACACAAGATCCTTGGGTCTGAAAAGCGATCCGAATCCGGATCGATGGCTCACCGGATGCCGAACTGAGGCGCTCTACGTTCAACGTAGGCCCGCCCCCAGCCAAGTTGGGATGAGAGGGGGTTTACTATGGGCCCTAGTATTTTTACGCCACTTCCTAGATAGCCGTGAAGCGCTCGAATTGTGTTAAGATGTCACTACTTTTTAGATGACATTAGTGGTTTTTTGACGCTGAAATCCCCCCCCCCCTTGACAGACAAATGGCAGCAAATCCTGACGGGAAAATTTAAAACGATCTATGGCTCGACTAAATGATTGAGTTTGACCCATCTTACTATACCCAGCCGCACCTCCTCGTTACGTTGAGGCAGCAGACCTGAAGGGCAATGAAGATATGTAAATTAGTTGCTTGTTACTGCTTAAAAGTCTACACTGCGCAAAAATCTACACTGCGCAAAAATACCAAATGCAGATCATGCCGATTAAAGCAAGGATCTACTTCCTTCATACTGCTTCAATGCTTCTATCTCAGAAGTCAAAAATTAACAGCTGATCAACCTGATTTTTTAGGAAACTCCATTCTGTTTCTTAGGTCCTATGACGTCGATTGCTGCTACGAGTGCCGTTTTGATTTTTCAGATAGCAAGCTTCTATGGTCATAATGGAACAACAAATGGGAAAAAAATGACGGGCTGTTTCCCTCAATTTTCCAAAGAAGCTAGAGAGAACTCTTGACGGTAACATGACCACGACAGGACGTGCCAATTTAAAGACACTCATAAATTAAAAGTGAAACGTTGTTTACAGAAATAAGAGATACAGAGAATAAGAAAACTTTTACGGCTGGAATAATCTTCTTTTGAGCAATTTTAGTTCAATGTGTTCTCCGCTAAATTGCGTAAGGGAGATTTTTCGCATGATCTTCTATGAAACATAGCTGCCGACAAATGATGACTTTGTTGCAGAGTGAAGGTACTCAGAGAATACCACACACTCTTAGCAAAGTATTTTACGTTGAATTTCCCTGCAAACACGCTGCACAATGCTTCATTTCATCTTATCACAAGAAGAAACAGGCAATGAGGAAAAGTGCTCGTTTCATACAGAACGCATTCTTTTGAGACCACGACACCCCACGTGACACCTTTTTCGGCATATCAATTTGTCATCTTTGCACTTCTTCATACATACCCAGCTGAAAACACACATTTTTTGTTGCACGTTAAAACAACGTAATTTCAGCCTTACAAGCGTTGCATTTCTGCTGGCGAGCACGTTGTAGCATTTGTTAACCCTAAGAAACAAGCTCCCAGGAAGAAAAAGAAAAACAGCAGGTTCATAGTTGTTTTCAGCAATATGAGTGTGCCCTGAAAAATTCTGATAATTTTTGGGTTTGTTTGTAACGTGAGAGAAAAGCGACAGTACAGCGTTTATGACTAATTGAGTCTCCTTTGCAAGACAGATATACTGAAAAAGATGGATTGAAGCAAACCTGCGATTAGAAGGTTAGAAAAGTTCGACGAAAGCAGCACTGCGTTTGTAAAGAATGAGTTGATTTGTGTGTGATGCTTGTAATTCAACCCACTGAAGTGGTAGGATTGTAATTATAAACTGTGTTTTTTCTCTTTTGTGCAGATTGTCCTCTCTTCGATATCAAAGAACATAATGCCTAGACAAGAGCAAGGGCTTTTTTATCATCTAAGCGAGCATGAAAAAATTTTACTCGCAAAATGAAACTCCCGTAATTTCGTGAGAATTAGACTATCATACTTCGGTCATCAATGGCCATCAGGGAGGTACAAGTACCGTGATTGAAAGTAGCACTTCTAAGCGGAATATTGGCGTTAATCATAAACTAAAAAAATTTTCCTTAAACTGCTATGCATTTTACTGTAAGAACAATGTTCAGCCTATCTCGAAAAGTAGCTCATGAACGCCTCCCAGATACACGGTTGTCTCAAAAATCGATCTGAAAGAGTTTCTTTGCTTTCTATAACCTCAGAAAAAGTGCTGGAAATCAAAACAAAACAAGCGGCCTTGTACTTTTAAACAGCTTTATATTCAGGTGAGCTTTTTCGCATCGCAATGAAAAGCGCAAACTTTGGACTTTCCGTAAAGATTTTTTTCATACGCGCAAAGTTTTACTTCGCGAAGAGCACTAAATGCGATTTGCATCTTGTAAGAAAAAGCATCAAAAAATCTTTCATAGCTTGAGTCTCTCATGCTTAGGATCAAAGACAGTTGTAGCCTTATTGCATAACTGAAAATTTAGAATTAGTTCTAGAATTGCTATTGCAAAAGTTACTTTCTATTAGAACCAAGGGAACATAAGGAAAGGAGAATTTATTCGGTTTCAGCTGCAGGTGGTATATATATGCTGCTTTTGTGACTTCTATGATTTCTGTGGCAATGGCTTTTGTGACGTACTCAGAAAAAAAGCTTGGATTAGAATAGATTTTGTATGCTTCGAAGCTAAAGAAAACTCAAGTTAAGCTACTTAAAAGTGACACCAAACCATTGCATTATTATTCTTCTCATTTTCTTTGGCCAGTTCGAAGCTTAAGATAGATAAATCCGTTTGTTTTCTCTGCATCGTGTACAGAAAAGTTCTCTATCTTGCTCAAATCAGCTCTATTCCAAATTTTTTGCTACAGATGCTACTAAATCTCCTTTATATACCGAAGTGTGCCTACGTTCTCCAACCAACTCTTGACTATTAGTAAAAATGCTATTATCGAAAAAAGACCTACCTTTCAAAATAAGATGATTAGCAAGAGCAATCGGGAAACGCCTATTTGCGAACTGACTCATTTACATCGCAGCTTGTTTAGGGCTGTTAAATCCTCAGCTTTTTTATGTTTGTTGGGAATTTGTTACAGTAAGTGACGCAGAACTCTCATATCGCCACACTCTTTGATCTATTCGTGCTAATGGGAGCGAGGATTTGAGCTGCTATGAAAAATTTGAAACACGTTTTGGTTTTCATAGCTGCAAATTCTGAGAGGCATCAATGAAATCACCATTACCATCATTCTTTCCAACTCAATGTGCCATCATTTTATATCACAAATTTATATTAATAGAACAATTAATTTACTCAACTAAATCAATCAAAGCAATGTGGAATGTAATATCAAATTCATAGAATAGGCGTATCAGTGAAAATCACTTTGAAGTATGAGATTTGTAGAAATGCACAGTAAGAAGAGAGTTTCTGATCTTAGGAGACCACTGAAGCATTGAATATACACAAAGCAATAATATGAAAGTTGTCATTATATCAAAATTTTCACTTTGCGCAAAACCTTGTGGAGCGCTTTGATGTGGCAGGCGTTGCCAAGCACAAGCAATACAATATAATCTCTAAACTTTTTGAGATACACATAGGCGGCGTTCATTTTATGTTCCGGAACAGTTCCAGCACAGCGCTCGAACTGTGCCCTGTGCTGGAACAGCTCCGGAATTTACGGGTCAGTATGAACCCAGCCTTATGAAACTATAATGCACCGAGTTAGCAAGGGTTGTGGAATTATCCGATTTCGCTGGAAATACAAAACATACTAGAGTATACAAACATAGACCATGCGGAAAAAACAAAGGCAAAGCATGCAAACATATCTACCTTTAAGATGTGAAAAGATGATTGCGATAAAGATAAATTGACATTTTTTGATTTCTGGCTCTCACTCTGTTTATCTCTGAGAATTTCCTAGTTAGTTTGGTTTGCAATTGTTTAAAATACACGATGAAATTGATTTGAACTGGAAGACATTTTGAGTAATCATCGTGCTGTTAAGAGGGCTTGCCTGAACAGTGAGAAAAAGGATTCTAACATCGTCATGAGAGCTGTCCGCATGCTACATCTCGAGCCTTCTAGATACTTTGGTTGTGAGCTGGTCTTACAGCTAGTAGAGACTATGACAATAACTTTGCTTGAATCTATGAATTGAAGTTCATTTGATGCCAATGTAAGAACTACCGTAATTAAAATATAGTATTGCCCCAAATTCTGCCTCACTGTGCAAAAAAAGTCTCCTTCGTATGGTGGACAAATTGCTCTGACACAGACGCATATAATATCTACAACCAAGGTTTACACGATTTTTTTTGCCATTGTCAGAGGCTCAGAAGTTGAGTCACGATATTGCTCCAATGGCACACTCGATTCATCTGGCGTGAATGAAAGAGGTCCGGCCACCAGTGTATTACCGATATTGCAGTGCGCAGCACTTTAAACAAGCTCGTTTGTCTCTTCTCGCTGGGCAGTTTGCCAAATTGAAAGGATGTAATGCCGCGCAACTGTCGCCATAAGCGTCTTTCATTTCCGACCTCATTTTCAATTATTTTCTGGTTTTTCACGTTCTTTCATTGATTGTGCTCAGCAGCTCGATGAAGTCTAGTCTCGTTATTTAGCGGTCAAGCAAAGTGATTGTTTTAGCATTTGGATAGTGTCGCGCTGACGCGCGGGGAAAGTATGTAACTTTGGTGCAAGTTTACTACCGTGAGTGGAGAGTGCTCGTTCCTTTACTACGTGGAGATCGGTCACTTGTGGATTTTTCTGACATCAAGTACTGGAATTAGTTTGGTGATCATTGCGGCTTAAGACGTAGGCGGACTCGTCCTATATGTTTCAGTTGCACGGACGCGCCGGAATAGTTAGCCGGCCCCATCTTTGTAGACAGTAGATGGCGGGTTGTGCAGCCAGTCATACGAGGCAAGGAATGCTGAGCTCATCGAGCTTCAATATGGCGCATAGGCGCATGGAATACGGAGGATTCCGCCCGCGTATGACATGGATTGTACTCGCAGATCGAGGATAGCTGGATAAGATCAAGGACGTCGTTATGGGAACGCGTTACTTCATCTTCCATGCGTGCACAACGAACCTTAATCTACCACGCTCAGCAAAGAAAATCAAGCAACAAAGAGGCCAGAGAGCAGTAGACACTTGGACAAACTAGTGGCAAAAATGCAGGAATGGTAGCGATGAGTGTGATGTTGAAATGGAGTATCCAGCTCACAAACAATTTTGGAAGGGTTAAGACGTAGCGTGCAGACTCTCATGAGATGGTTTGAGTCCTTTTTCTCATTTTTATTCAGGCAAGCTTTTCCTAACAGCAGGAAATCTGCATACCGAAATTATCTTTGAAATCAATTTCGTCGTGTATTTTTGACAAAGTGGATGCGGTGACTGGCTACGCATACTTAAAGGCACCGTCCACCCAAAATGGAGGTTGGCGAGATTATGATGGCATACTGGTGTGGGCCCTAATACTAGACAAACCTCCAAGCTTCGCCGCAAAAGATTGCTTCTGAAGCGAGAAATCCGCTCAGTAACAAAGTGGGCGGGGCGCCCCGGCGGTCCACCCAACTCGAATTCAATGCTTCTGTCGCCCTCAGGCCTTCAGAGAGCCCTGATTCCGAATATAGAGTCGAAAATTCGCAAAACCCCCAAACATCCCTGTTTCGAGAACCCTCCGCAACAAGTGCAGGCGAGATAAAGCATGCAAGTGGGCGAGGCGACCGGGGGCGCCCCGCCACTTTTGTTGCTTCCGGAGCGGATTTCTCGGTTCAAAAGCAGTCTTTTGCGGCGAAACTTGGGGGTTTGTCTAGTATGGGGGCCCACACTAGTATGCCATAATAATCTCGCCAACCTCCATTTTGGGTGGACGGTGCCTTTGAACACCTACTCAGACAATCGCCGGGGGCAGGCGGGCACCGGAAAAATAGATTGCTGATCTCTCGCACCCTGCTCGCGGATTTTTTGGAAAGCAATCAGGACTTTTCGGAAGGCTGCTTGCTAAGTTCTCGATTCCTCAGAGATTCAGCAATATACCTGCAAAAGATAAGAGCGAAAATAATTCAACAGGCGGTCTCTCAAAAATCCGCTGACTCAGCATGCGGTCTTCCGAAAAGTCCTGATTGCTTTCCAAAAAATCCGCGAGCAGGGTGCGAGAGATCAGCAATCATTTTTCCGGTGCCCGCCTGCCCCCGGCGATTGTCTGAGTATGGAGATAGAAAAGTGTGCTTTACCAAGTGCTCTGAGGGCAGGGATTGCATTGCACTTACAGTCTGCCCCAATCCCAATTAGGCCAAATCGGCATGGCGGGAGTCCGCGTCGCTAGGGTTTCGCGGTCACGCCTGCGCTGCTTCTCTGATCTCTCTTCAATGCTTTTGCTCTTTCTGACAATGCGCAAGTGCAGTGCAAACGTCTAGCGCTGCGAACGCGCAAATTTACGCCGACGGCTTGGCCTGGTCCCGATTGGGACTGACCGTACACTCAGGAGACAGGTAACCTTTGCAGACGAAAGGGTAAAATTCAATTATGAAATTCTCAGAGATAAACAAAGTAAGAGCTAGAAATCAGAA